GGAAACAGGTGTTTTCCTAACAGCCTGGAAGAAAGCAGAGGTTATCCCACTTCTGAAGGAAGGGGATTACGAAATTCCGAATAATAATCGGCCCGTGTCGTTGTTAGTGGCTGCATCTAAGATCTGTGAACGCGTGGTATTGAAACAGTTAACAGAGTATATGACAAAGAGGAAAAAATTTACTAAACATCAAAGTGGAAATAGGAAGTTACATTCAACCGAAACATTAAACATATTCATCTCAGATTTAATTCTCCAGTCCATGGATCGTAGAGAAGTGACTGCTTTACTCTTACTGGACTTGTCTAAAGCTTTTGATAGCTTAGATCATTTCATTCTGCTAAGAAAACTTTCGAATATTGGAATCTCGAAGCCTGCGTTGTTTTGGTTTAAAAGCTATTTGACAGGCAGGTGCCAATCAGTACGTATTGCGTCAGTGTTATCTGATGAATGTGAAATAACTCGCGGTGTTCCGCAGGGATCGATACTGGGTCCGGTGTTATTTAATATATATATATCAACGACTTGCCTGGTGTACCCAAGGAGTCCAATTTGGAGTCGTACGTGGATGACTCAAAAATATATTTAGCATTCTCAATCAGGGATGCCGAGTTGGCAGCTATGAAACTCACTGAAGACATGCGAAGAATTACCGCCTGGTGCTGTCTTAACAGTTTATTGGTGAATCCAGAAAAAACCAAGTTGCTTATATTAGGTACTAGGCAAATGTTAGAACAGGTACCTGAAAATTTTCAAATAACTATCCTTGGTGAGAATATTACTCCAGTTGCTGTTGCAAAGGATTTAGGGATGATATTGGACTCATGTTTGAGCTACGACGAACATATCGCAAACGTTGTTTCATCTTGTATCGCTGGACTGGGCCAAATTAGCAGAGTTAAACATATCTTTGACAGAAAAACATTAATTCTTATTATAAATTCCCTGATTTTTAGCAAAATGTATTACTGCTCTGCTGTTTGGTCTAATACATCCCAAAGAAATATCGAGAAACTTCAAGCGGTCCAGAACTTTGCTGCACGTATTGTTACAGGAACAAGAAAATACGATCACGTGACTCCTGTTCTGCAACAACTGGGCTGGCTTCCAGTTAAATACATGTTAAAATTAAGAGAAGCCATTTTTGCTTTCAAATGCTTGAAGGGGTTGGCACCATTGTATTTGCGTGAGAAGTTCCATGTCAGGTCAGATGTTCATGGCGTTAACACAAGGCAAAAGAACATTTTGGATATACCAATGTACAGATCAGCTGCGGGTCAACGAACATTTCACTATAGGGTTGTGTCCTTGTGGAATTCTCTGCCTCAGTCTCTTAAAAACATTGATACTTTGTCTCATTTTAAAGTAGAATACAAACGTATGTTATTAGAAGAATTTTTAACTGTAAGTGGTGTTTAACAGATTTATAGAATATTTTAGAACTATAGCCTATTTTATACCTTAGGTCAAAACTCAAAATTCATTTTTAGATACTTTTATAGATATAGAATTTTATATTTGTAATTAGATCCTGAAAAGCCCAATTGGGAGTATCTAATATTGTATAATAATAATAATAATAATAATATTATGTATATAACTACATTGATGTTATGTGCAAATACATCAATGTCATAAACCGATACAACTAAAAGATAAACCGATATAACTAAAAGATGAGGAAACGGAAGTAAATACAAATAAAAGATGAGGAAACGGAAGTAAATACAATTAAAAGATGAGGAAGCGGAAGTAAATCGGAAAATCGGAAGTGAAACGACGCACCAACATGCAACAATGGCGTCTCTTGGACCACGCATTTGGCTTCCTTAAAATGATTTAATAAGAAATGCTGAACAAAGTCGCACTCATTGTGACTCGCCAGACTTTTATTGTCGTAGATTAGAAGAGTATGAACGGTGAACGCACGTTGACTGATTTAACAATAACAATCATCGAATCATACACACATCCCCCCCCCCCGAAAGACGACAAGGGAGTCTTTCAAAACAACTCAACATTTAAATGTTGTTATGAGTTGGTCCTTCCAGTTCAGGTTTGTACAACCGTCTTTTGTCCCAGCAGGTTTCCTTCTACAATCTCTTGCAAAATAAAACGTGCCATCATGATTTTGAAAGGCTTATCCCCCTTTCCCCTATCCAATGTTGCGATTTGAAGTCGAAATTGAAAAGAAAGGCCTGAAACGGTGCTATTAACAATCACTAACCAACATTGAGAAGGGTGTGGGGAGCATGGAGTGTCTCGTTTATTTTGCATAAGATTGTCTAAAATAGGAACGTTTGGAATGCACACTTGGCACAGCTCTGATTGTGTAAGACGCGAGTGTAGATTATTACTAATACGGGAAGTAAAATTTACTGAAAATTATTCAAAAATATTAGCACACATGTTTGAACAATAACACCCATGTATTTTATGTTTATTTCTGGAAAAACATTATAATATATGTAACAAAACAACTTGTCAATAACTACATGTATATTAGTGCGCGAATATGTAATGAAATTGACAACACAAAAATTCATAATCATTATGAATAGACCTAAACGTTGCACAACAACAATTTGTCTTTGAAAAAGATGCCCCTATCCTTGCCACGGCCAACGAGCACTTCAATTTTGTGTGAGGGGGTGCAGTAGACTGCGTTAAAACGGAGATGATGAAAGTCAGATGGCATTGTTTTCAGTTCTTCTTGCAAATCCTGCAAGATGAACAAGTGAATATCCTGTCATGTCCGCGTTGCTTTACAGAGTTTAGCAAAAATGCATGCAATTAGCATACTAATCAAATGCATGCAATCGGCATACTGATCAGTGTTCATATCTGCATGTGACGGGTCACCATTTTAAAATCTCAAAATTACATATTTTGTTTCTTATCTACAAGGTTTGTTGACTAATTAACATAAACATTATAAGTTATTGAACAAATGCTGGAATTTGGAAACGATTTGAAGTGTTGTATGCGCAGAATAAACGGCGGATCACCACTGTGATCCGAAGATATACGAGAGAATATATATTATGTAATATTTTCTTTTGGTTTGAACGGGTTAAAAAAAATGGAAATGTTAACTTTACCATGGTACCACGGTGCAAACCTGAGATCTTATGTATTTAATGTGTGGCCAGCGTACTCTCTTGAGTTGTTTTGGCACTTGTTTTAGACAGTGACCCGTTCCGGTGATGCGTTAATTATTGGTAGTTAATCGGCGTGTTTATACCCCTTTGGTTTGTTTATCAAAACGCAGCCATATATCAATATAGACGAATATTATTTTTTAATTACGAATCCGTATATAATTCATATTATATTGTATGCGTTTTATTGTCAAGATATACATTGTCGATATAATTATATATATACAACGTGAAGGTACTTGACAGTTTGATAGCTGTAATATCTTAAACGCTGTCCTTTGTATAGCGTCATAACTTTCCACACCTACAGGACTTCACATAGTATATTAGCCTGCTCACAGACGTTGTAGTTCTTACGCCAAGCGACGAAATACTACCGTCTGCTTACCCGAGCCACAGAATAAGGACCTATACAGAAGTCCCACTCTCGTGTGCGACATGGCACCTTTTTTCCACTGCGCATGCACATAGTCACTAAGGGGATCAACATGGTCTCTTGGTTCCTATGATGATATATGACATACGCACATACAGGCGCGTATGATGCAATGCATCATATAGGCGTAAAAATCTCACAACGGTCCCAGGCTCCAGATTTGAGCGACGCAAATTGTAAAAGACAAGATGGCAGACAGTTCTCACAGTGCTAGCTGCCTTTTATAGTTGCCTAGTTGTTCGAACTGTTCAGTGTATAGCAGATGGACAGAGATGGATATCGCATCAAAAATTGAGAAAATTATCGAATGTGGCAAACAATTTTCCTCAACCTAGAATGAGGAAAAGAGAGCAAACCAGTGTTGGATTCCTTGATGATATTTGACTCGAGACAAGTAGCAGCTCTCGCAAGGTCTTAGCTCATTGGCTGAAATGAATGTTCCGGTTTCGAGGGTTTCAAATTGGTGACTTCCGGTTTAGAAATTTATGTTTGTCAGGAAATATTTTCAAATATTCGTGGACGAATTTTTTGTGGTTTCGATGGTTTCAATGGTTTAAAGGGTGTCGATGGTTTCGATGGTTTCAATGGTTTTAATGGTTTCAAGGGTTTTAATGGTTTCGATGGTTTCAAGGGTTTTAATGGTTTCAAGGATTTCAAGGGTTTCGATGGTTTCAATGGTTTCTATGGTTTTGATGGTTTCAAAGGTTTCGATGGTTTCAAAGGTTTCGATGGTTTCGATGGTTTCAATGGTTTCAAGGGTTTCAAGGGTGTCGATGGTTTCAAGGGTTCCAATGGTTTCGAAGGTTTCAAGGGTGTCTATGGTTTCAAGGGTTTCAATGGTTTCAAGGGTGTCGATGGTTACTAATTCTAAGATGCTCTTTCTAGCTGTAGTGATATATTTCGTTGTTCTTATTTAGATTAAAATTTAGTCTAAAGCGCAAATCGTCCATTTGTTTAGCTAACTCAGGTCCTACATTAATAAAATATTTATTAAAGTTGTTTGCGATGACAGTTGGATTTGTCAAGGCTTTCTATGAATTTATCCGGTAGTGTGGATTTTTCGTTCTTTCTATTTAAAATTTTGTTAATCGTTTTCCGTGTCATTCTCAATCTCGTACCCAGAGCAATGCCTATGCACGGGCTAGGATGGCATTGGCTCTGGGGAAATTGACAACTGGAACCCCTAAATTTAGGGGTTCCGGTTCTTTGTCGGCATGCACGATTGATAAATGTTAAACCAATCACAGCACAGGAAAAATTCAATTTCCCGAGAGCCAATACCATCCTAGCTCGTGCACAGGCATTGCTCTGGGTACGAGATTGTGTCATTCGACTATTATAATTTACAAATTGTTTTTCAAAATATTTTTTAGCAAGTTAGACTAGGTGATTTAGTTTGTTCGTATACTTTTTGTATGTTTCTTCATTTTTCTGATTAGGTGTTTTCAAATATTCTCTATATAGTTTATTTTTTTCAATTACAGATGATACCGTGAGTCATCCAAGGACTTTTAAAGCAGTATTCAATCTTTTTATTCTTTTTCTTTTGTAGTGGAAAGTTTTTGTTGAATGCAGTTTTTATTTTTTTTAAAAAAATCTATTTTATATTTATTATATAGGCTGCTCTCCAGTCACGCGTTTTTCATATGCACTACACGCACATAAAATAGTAATCCGTTTAAATGTTATGAAATAAACAAATAAATAAACAGAATTTAGTGTTTTGTAAGTTTTTGTATGTATTTGTTAACTTAGGCCTGTTTTATACGTCGAATTTCAGTCGCGTCAAATGCAATTTAAACAATAGATAACGAAGCTTAATGACTGTTTATCATCTCATTATCTATTGTCTTAATTGTATTGGACGCGACCAAAATTCAACGTATAAAACAGGCCTTATTTGTAAAATAATAACAAAAATAAAAGAATTTTTATAAAAACGCTCAACTGGAATGTAACCTTAACAAATATTAATTTATCTTTCTCTATAATGAGTATCAGAGCAAAGACTAGATAACTAAAGATGTGGTACTCTTCGTGTTTCCTTAAAAGTTTGAATGTTTGTAAATTTTCGCTTACCGACCACGCCATAACACTTACTGCCAAAATGGGGACGAGAGACTTTCCTCGCGCTATATCTCTATATGATGAATAAATTCATTTATACGAACTTTTTTTGCGATGTTCCACATCTTACTTATATCCGTCTTTGATCAGAATGTGCCTGTTTGCAGGTGATGTGATTAACCTATTGCCATCAGGCGTAAAAAAAAAATACAATACCTGTGCTTCCGGTTTTATATCGTAAAAAAATAGGCAATTCCAGCTTTTAGTTTATGCGTGCAGGAGTTGATGGGAAGTAAGGAATCATATTGCTGATTATGCTTAAACCCACGTTAAGTAGGGGACTCCACGGATCGAGATCCATTGTATCTTACATGTAGTATCCATCAGTGCGAGTACCGCACACCGAAAGACACATGCATGCTGTGATGTGCATGTCAAGTAGCAACAATAACAAAAAATATAAACAATACTTAGGGGCGGACCATTAGAAAAGTGATGGGGGTGGCGAGGTGGTCCATTTTCAACGTGCAAGAAATTTTTTTAGAAATTTTTTGCTGTGTTTATTTTTTTTTAATAATCCCTTGCTCGAATTTTATTTTTTCCCCAAATTTTTTCGGACTAACATCAATTTAGTTAAGGTTTAAAACACATTTTTACTGAAAAAAATTCTTAAAACATGATTAAATTAAAACGCTTATTTTCCAAATTTGGGGAACACCCTTACACTGTACCTCTGATAGACCCTGTCAACTTATAATTTTCCCAACTTATAATTTTCCCTATTAGTCTTGGGACCTGTATATGAGTTTGTATGCGATTCATTTAGGACAGGTAATCTCAACTGTTTTAGGGTAAAATGACCATGGCGGTCAACATGGCATATGTGCGAAAACCTGAATCCGGGACGAAAGTCCTGAAAATGACCCCGCCCTGAAACGGCAGTGTCGACATAGCTCTTACTTCCAAAAAGGAAAAGCGATAGCCTTTCTGAAGTGTTTATAGTGTTTAGAAGGGTTACTTTTAGGGGTGGTCATTGGAAGGAAAAATTTGTCAAAGTATAATATTTTACCAGAAAATGGCTATGCACCACCCCAGGTAAATTGCTGGTTATGCACAAAATAACTAATATGCATGGCAGAAATTAAATTCTTATTTCCTAAAAAAAATTATCATGGGGTGAAAAACTATGCTTAATTTAATATAAATATTGTTGATTTCATAAGGATTGTCATTGTTTTCTTTAAATATAATACATTTTATTTCACTTACCCCCCACGAAAACACGATTTCAGCCATATTTTGCCGTCTTGTTTGCTTTTTATCGCCGAATCTCGCAAATATCATCCAGTTATTGTACTTTTACATAATCATAAGTAGCTGAAGAAAATTTCAAAGAAGGTTTCATCCACTTTTGTAACAGTGCAGTGTATTTTACCTTCGCTATTGTGTCCTTCGATATTCCGCCAAATTGCCGCCATTTTAATGGCTCGCCGCTTCTCTGTCTGATAAATGCAACTTCTTCGTTTCCATATGTATTTAGATTACAGTATCCAAGAGTACTTCATTGTAGAATAGTCCCAATCCAAAAATTGGCAACATTTGTCCCATTAGGAAGGAAAAATCCTCCCGTATACAATTTAGGTTCAAAATAAAAAACAATTCATTTTTCGTGGACACATGACAGGGGGGAGGTTGAATATTTTCACGAATAAGTTCGCAACCACAGAAACATAACTAAACATATTGTATTTATTGTATTTTTATGATTTATAATAAAAGCGATAAATATTTGCGTAGTTTTGTCATAAATCATAAAAATACATTAAATACAATATATTCAGTTATGTTTCTGTGGTGGCGAACATATTCGTGAAAATATTCAACCCCCCCTGTTACGTGTCCACGAGAAGTTTTCGCGAAGATTGCGCGTGACTTTCAAATGATTTGTTTTTTATTTTGAACCTAAATTGTATACGGGAGGATTTTTCCTTCCTAATGGGACAAATGTTGCCAATTTTTGGATTGGGACTATTCTACAATGAAGTACTCTTGGATACTGTAATCTAAATACATATGGAAACGAAGAAGTTGTATTTATCAGACAAAGAAGCGGCGAGCCATTAAAATGGCGGCAATTTGGCGGAATATCGAAGGACACAATATCGAAGGTAAAATACACTGCACTGTTACAAAAGTGGATGAAACCTTTTTGAAATCTTCTTCAGCCATTTATGATTATGTAAAAGTACAATAACTGGATGATATTTGCGAGATTCGGCGATAAAAAGCAAACAAGACGGCAAAATATGGCTGAAATCGTGTTTTTGTGGGGGGTAAGTGAAATAAAATGTATTATATTTAAAGAAAACAATGACAATCCTTATGAAATCAACAATATTTATATTAAATTAAGCATAGTTTTTCACCCCATGATAATTTTTTTTAGAAAATAAGAATATTTAATTTTTGCCAGGCATATTAGTTAATTTGTGCATAATCAGCAATTTACCTGGGGTGGTGCATAGTCATTTTCTGGTAAAATATTATACTTCGACAAATTTTTCCTTCCAATGACCACCCCTAAAAGCAACCCTTCTAAACACTATAAGCACTTCAGAAAGGCTATCGCTTTTCCTTTTCTGGAAGTTAGAGCTATGTCGACACTGCCGTTTCAGGGCGGGGTCATTTTCAGGACTTTCGTCCCGGATTCAGGTTTTCGCACATATGCCATGTTGACCGCCATGGTCATTTTACCCTAAAACAGTTGAGATTACCTGTCCTAAATGAATCGCATACAAACTCATATACAGGTCCTAGACTAAAATTAAAGCGAGTGATTTTGCTTGCTTTTCTTAACTCTCGCAACATTCCCACGTGTTTGGATCAGGCCATCCAAACACGGAAACCATAAAGTAATTGTTTTATAAAATAACAATTTTCCGTCTTAAAATTTCACTTTAAAAACTTTCACATTAAATTTTCGTGTTTGGATGGCCTGATCCAAACACATCTTTCGACCAATCAGAGCACGCGTTATATACATGTTATTTTATAATATTTATTTTCGACATATTGGCGGAATAATAATAATAAATCCAGTATAGTAATGTATGTTATAGTAAAAATATGTCATAAAATATAAATTTTAAAACGAAGTTGACTTGCTTATAATAAAAAGAAACTAATATACCCCAAATTGACTTGTATGAAAAATCTATATATATCCTCACCTGCTCAATGTGTTCATTGCCAACGTGTTCCTTAATATCCTCCAACATCGACTTGAATACTTCACTTTCCCGTCTACCCTGCTTTGTCGTACTTTGTCCGCGACAATTTTCACATGAAGCCTAGTAACATTTAGTGTAAAATTTAAAAATGCAGCATGAGCTCCACCTTTGAATTTACTATACGAGTAAATTCTTAAACACGTCCGAATTTATCATTATGATAAATTCGCGGCAAATTTTGAATTTATCATAGTAATAAATTCGCGGCACCTAACACTAACCCTAACCCCAACCACTAATCCCCAACCCTAACTTTTTTGACTTTATAAATTTTTTAACTTTTTTAAAAATCTAACTTTTTAAACTTTTTTGCTTTTTAAAACTCTTTTAAAACTTTTTTGAAAACTATCTTTTTAAAAAACTTGAAAAACTCATAAAATCTTTCTCTGCCTGCCGTTTGCCGTTTGACGAATAACGCGAAGCTTAAACTCTCTAATGGTGAATGTTTACACGTGAAAATTGCAAAATTTAAATTTTATCGCCCGCATTTGCACACAGCATTTCCCCATAATTCGGTAACCGCTATAGATTACGGTAATAAAATCAGAACAGACTAAATTCATTTGGTTGTCACAGATTCAAATTGGAACTGACACAACCAATGCATATAATTCATATAAAAAGGCAATCAAATCAAAATCTCAAAAGAAATATCGGTAAATCTTCTAATGTAATCTGTAAATATTCTACTGCTCGTATGTAAAATCTTTTCATTGCTGTTGGAATAAATTATACATACTGTCTGATTGAATAAATGAATGAGTGAAAATAAAATCATATTTCTGGATAAATTCTTCAAAGTATGAATTACCTCCGATGGTTGTGTGTCCGTGTTCGACGAATTTTGTTCTTTCAGCTCTTGTAGTTGATCCCGATACGATTCCGAATCAGTTTTTAAATTCTGATTTTCATCGAACAATTTTTCCAGGTCCGTTTTCAAGCTATTGTTTTGCTGTTGAAGATCTTCGACCATACTCTTGTTCTCATTTTTCAAATTCTCCATCGCTTGTTTCGTTTCGTTGACTTCCTCTTTCAAGGTTGAAACTTCGTTAGACTTTTCTTGAAGGTCATTTCTGATCTGGCTAAGTTCTTCCGCAGTGGAATTTAAATCATTCTGAAGGGGATCGCGTTCTTCTGTTAGCCTTGTTAGGGAATCTAATTCTCCTGCTAGGCTTTCGCTGGTTGCCGCTGCTTTCACAAGTTCGGATTCTAACTCAAAAACGCGGTTTGCCTTCTCGCCAAAATCTTTGCTCATCTGTTTAGCCTCAGCAACCAAGTTCTCAACTTGCTCTTTTAGATTCTGGTTTTCCACCAAACTTTCCTCATACTGTATATCCTTGTCGACAATCTTATTATCGAGTTCACGGATTTGAGAAGCACTTTCGTTCACGACCTCATTCAAGCGTTCTCGTTCGCGATCCAATTGAACGCGTAGCGTATTCACGTTTTCCTCTTGCCCGCGTGCAAGCTCACGTTCCTTCTCCTCAACGGCTTGTCTTATGCTGTCAATCTGGTCGTCGAAATCTTGTTGTAATCTGTCTGATGTAGTCCGATGTTGTTTTAGCAAGCTTTCTTTAGACTCAACCAACGCTTTGACTTTCTCTTGTAACTCAGCAACCAAGTCCGACTTTTCTTTCAACTGTAACACAAGCTCTTCACTTTCAACCGACGAATTGTCCGTTTTAGTTAATTTTTCCTTTAATTCAAGAATTACTTTTGCGTTTTCTTCGGCAGTGCATCGCATTTGATCAATTTCATTGGTAAATTCATCTTTTATTCGTGCGATAGTCGCCTCATGTTCTGTAATTAAAGACTGTTTGCTCGACATTGTTTCTTGCAATTCCATTTCCAGTTTTTCACAAGTTGATAAAATTTTTTCAATTTTGAAATCTTTCTCTGCCAAATCGAAATCATACTTTCCTTGAAACCCAGCCAATTCCTTTCTTATACCTTCATTCTCTAAAACGATTTTCTGTAATTGTTCACGGAACCGTGTCTCTACTTCAGAAACGCAAGCTTCATTTTCATTTTCAAGTTTACCTTTCTCAGAAACTGAAGCCTCCAACTTTTCATTCAACAAACTTATTTCTTCACGAGTTTCATTTTCTTTTACCAAGTTCTCCTTTACAGAAACAACAGCTTCCAATTCTTCTTTCAACAAATTAATATCCTCGCGAAACCGTGTTTCCACATCAGCAACGCTTGATTCTTTGGCCATTAACAAATTATTTTTCTCAGAAATAACAGCTTCCAATTCTTTTTTCAACATACTAATCCTTTCCGTGAACTGTTCTTCCACTTCAACACGACGAGCTTCGTTCTCTTTTACTAAATTTTCTTTCTCCGACACAACAGCTTCTAATTTTTCTTTCAATATGTTGACCTCTTCACAGGAACGTGCTTCCATTTCGGACACCCGAATTTCCATTTCCTTAACCGAATTATTAGCAGCCTCCAATTCATCTTCCAACATGTTAATTTCCTCCTCAACAGCTTCGACTTCAGGATTTTCAATTAACGTTAACATCTTGTATTTCAGTTTTGTAGTCAGGCAGTCGATTTCTTTAGACTTGTCTTGTACGTCTTTGGTCTTCTCGGCTAATTCTGCTTGGTACTTTTTATGTAACCCGGCTACGCTGATATCGTTTTCCAAAAGCATTCTTTCATTAGCCTCTTGAGCTTCTATAAGCTGTCTTTTAAGATCGTCTATCTCACAATCAGAATTAACCTCATCTAGTTCCTCTGACGGCTTTTCCTGCATATTAACATCACACGGGGGCATTTCCTCTCGCGATTCATTATCAGATGGACTACCCATTAACAGCTTCAAATGTTCAGTTTCGCAGATCTTTTCATGTAATTGCTCGTTTCTTTGGTATAATTCTTCTTGCAACTTCTCAATACGCTTGGTCATCTCTACATGCTCTTTGTCACAGTGACCGCCGCTTGAATTCTCAAGGGTTTCAATTTCTAACGACTTTTGTTGAAGTTCCACATTTTTCTGTAATATTTCCTGCTCAAACTTATTTATAAGTTCATTCACCGAGATCTCAGTAAATATAGTAACTTCAGTGCTTGTATTTTCGGGCGATGTTTTTTCCGGCGACGTGTCATTCGTATCACAAAGCTTTTCCTCTAGTTGTTTAACCTTTTCCATCAAATCTTGTACTTCCTTATCTTTCTCGCTCAATTTTAGCCCAAATGTATGCTGAAGTTTCGTCATACTTTCCTCGCATTCTTCCTTGGCAGCTGAAGCTAATTCTAGCTGTCGCTTTAAATCATCAATTTTATCAAACTGTTCATTGATTTTAGCAATCTTATCATCCTTCAAACGCTTTCGTTCAACTGCATCTGGAAATGCTTTCATTCGATCTTCAACAACGGTCAATTCGTCTGAGTGTTTTCGCTTTCGCTCGACACACTGTTGACTCCCGGACTGGCACTTTGGAGACAAAGGTAAACCAGTATGCAATTCGGGAATAGCTTTAGATTCCTGGGAAATGGTGGAGGTTAGTTCCACTTCTTCAAGTTGTGCATTCAAGTGTTGTAGTTCACCCATCATCTCTTGCAAAGTTGCATCTTTTTGTGCCAATTCTTCGTCCCGTTTACTTTCCGCTTCAGAAAACATTTCCTCTCTCTTCTTCAACTCTGCATAGTATTCCTGTCGGAGATTTTCTATACAGGATTCGTAGTACTGAACAAGTTCCTCCTGCGCAACCGAACTAGACTTCAGTTTCTCTTCGGGATTGATGGTTTCTGTTGGGAAATCTTCGTTGTCTGCTTGCATATCCTCATTTCGTGCTTCATGTTCTTTTTCTTTTTCTCCCATTTCAGAGTTCTTGGCTAATTCTCGTTCTAACTGTTCACGCAACTGTCTCAGTTCTTCAGACTGTCTTGCCAATTCAGCGTCTTTTTCGTCTAACTCTAATTTCGTTTCGTTGGCGAACCCTTCCACGAAGCCGTCGTACTGCTCTGCCAAAGCCTGTTTAGTTTCCAACGCTTCGGCCAATTGCTTTTCAAGATCTTTCATGATGTCCGATTTGTCATTACAGCCTTCGGATGTCGGATTTGTCATTACAGCAATTTCAGATTCTTTCACTTTTAATGCATCCTCTGAGCAACTTTGGGCATTTGTTTCGACAGGAAGAGACAATTTTTCGCCAAGTTCGTATTGTAAACCATGACATTTATCTTCAAACTGACGACAGCTGTCACGTAACTCTGTATTTTGCGCTTCCATCTCCTGTGGACGAGTTTTCGACGCTTCAATTTCTTCGTTCAATTGCTTTGGACTATTTACGGCAGCAAGTTCTTCAAGTTTCATACGGAGTTCTAGGTTTTCGTCATTGAGCTAAACAAAAACAGAAGTCTTTATTAGTAAATATTCGCCCACGGTGTTTACAGCTAGGGAAAATGTGCGTCTCCAATGATAAATGCTTGCATCATTTTGTTAAAAAGTAGACATACGACCAAATAGTTTTTTGGCCAGGTTCATTTTCATTCATGATAAACATCCAACATTTTTACTCCGAAATGGTTGGTTGGCCGAAAACTTTTTATACTGTACTTTTCCAAATTCCTCAAGAAAATCTTTACCAGAAAATAGAACCAATAAAATTAAAATGTCTAAAATAATTGTGGGGTCCAAATCCACGTTTATATAAGTTGCAAGCTGTTAGGTTAGGGAGATTGCTTTGAGAGTGTTCGTTAACTCAGGATTAAGCTGACCAGCTTTCGAACAATAGCCCATGTTTTTTAAACATTGCTAGAAGTCCCTCAGGCTATTCCTGTCCACTCGAAGTATTTTTGCTTTTTTCAGATAATTCACAAAAAAACCCACATTATTATACAACTGAAAGAACGTACCGCCTGAACTTTTCCATCTAACATAGCTGAGTATTTTTGATTGGCAGCAATCTTTCCTAGTTGTAGTTCAAGTTCTTGACGTAGAATCGCTTTATCATCTTCGCTCTTAGATATTTCTTCCTGTAAAGTTTTACTTCTTTCTTGTTGTCGAACCAATTCTTCTTGGAGTGTATCAACAGTCGTTAGTTCATCTTGGATCACATTCAGTATCTCGACCTGAAAATATATCATTAATAATAATGATACGATACGACTTAAGAAGCAACAATAGCAAGCTTGTACTAGCGAAACCAAAAACTAATTCTTTGAAAGGAACATTCAGATATGCTGCTGCTAAAGTCTGGAACCAAAGTGTCAGTTAACTTAGTAGTAACTGTATTTTTTACACTTTTTGGGAGGGCTTCACTGGGGGGAGGAGGGGTAGTCAGTTAAATAAATAG